TGCGGAGAAACAGCCCTAAAGCATGATGTTGCCACCCCCATGCTTCACAGTAGGTATGGTGTTCTTTGGATGCAACTCAGCATTCTCTCTCCTCCAAACACGACGAGTTGTGTTTCTACCAAACAGTTCTATTTTGGTTTCATCTGACCATATGACATTCTCCCAATCCTCTTCTGGATCATCCAAATGCTCTCTAGCAAACTTCAGATGGGCCCGGACATGTACTGGCTTAAGCAGGGGGACACGTCTGGCACTGCAAGATCAGAGTCCCTGGCGGCGTAGTGTGTTACTGATGGTAGCCTTTGTTACGTTGGTCCCAGCTCTCTGCAGGTCTTTCACTAGGTCCCCCCCTGTGGTCCTGGGATTTTTGCTGACCGTTCTTGTGATCATTTTGACCCCACGGGGTGAGATCTTGCGTGGAGCCCCAGATCGAGGGAGATTATCAGTGGTCTTGTATGTCTTCCATTTTCTAATTATTGCTCCCACAGTTGATTTGTTCACACCAAGCTGCTTGCCTATTGCAGATTCAGTCTTCTCAGCCTGGTGCAGGTCTACAATTTTGATTCTAGTGTCCTTCGACAGCTCTTTGGTCTTCACCATAGTGGAGTTTGGAGTGTGACTGTTTGAGGTTGTGGACAGGTGTCTTTTATACTGATAACAAGTTCAAACAGGTGCCATTGATACAGGTAATGAGTGCAGGACAGAAGAAGAAGAAGGTACAGGTCTGTGAGAGCCAGAAATCTTGCTTGTTTGTAGGTGACCAAATACTTATTTTCCACCATAATTTGCAAATAAATTCTTTCCAAATCAGCCAATGTGATTGTCTGGATTTTTTTTCTCATTTTGTCTCTCATAGTTGAGGTCTACCTATGATGCCAATTACAGGCCTCTCTCATCTTTTTAAGTGGGAGAACTTGCACAATTGGTGGCTGACTAAATACTTTTTTGCCCCACTGTACTTCTTGGGCTGATCAAATGCCAGTTGGTGGATCGCCTCAATCGTCACTGACCTAGTATACAGCTACATGGAACGAGAATGGTTTCCGCACCTGAAATCACCCGCAGGGGCGCATGAAACTGGGTTTTGCTCCTACTTTCATCTGGAGGCAATTTTCTAAGTAACTGTAGATACCCAGGTATATTTACACACATCCACCAGGACTATTGGGTCATATTACTGATGATATGTTTGTGTATTACATATATGTACTATTACTAATCTTTTATCATATTATGTTTGTTTTTCTTCCACACTGTTGTGTTTCTGTAAACTTACGGTTATTGTTAAATCCTTGGCGTAATAGTTCCTCTGCTCCCAAATACTTAATTTCCTAGGAGAGGAACCCCCTCTTCCCCCTCTTCGAGGTCTTGTCCTGGGTGGAGGCACTGCCAAGTTTTTCATCAAACACCTCTTCCACTTAGTTAATGTTCTGGTTCATCTAATTACCTACAGCCTGTTTGGAGAGTACCATTTCCTATAACCCCCTTCCCCCCTCAAAACAGGGCTACAATAGCTTTGCTGGTTTCTACAGTTTACATATTAGCACCATACTTCTGCCCTGCAATGCAACATAACAGAACCTTCATGTTTAGGTTTATGATAATATAAAGAGCATCTATAAGAACAAAAATATGGAAGCTTCAGCTGCTAAAATCCCATCTCCACCATTTAAGTTGCCCAACCTCTTAAAGTATAAAAGCAGCATTCATTGCATTATTCACTTCCTCCCCAGCGTGGCCCACCACAGACTCACCCAGGGTCACTATCAGGGGGGACAGCCAATACATAAGTAGGGGGCCCAGGCATTCTGAGGGGACCAGGCCCCATGCCCCAACCTGAGCTGTGATTAACACGGGGCAGCAGCTGTCAGCGATGGCCTTCTTCTGGGTTGAATGATGCCCAGGATCATCCAACCCACTCCCTGTATAACCAAGACCACTATGAACACATCCTATGTGGGCATCATCATGCTGGCATGGGCTCACAGTATTCCTGGACAGAACAGTACTCACATGCCATTATGTGAACAGTGCCCAACCTAGAAGTAAAAATTGCCCAGCGTCAAAGTAAAAAAGAAGGGCCTGTGATATCACATGATGGGCCTGAAGACTGCAGGATCAAAGATATGTATAAAGGGATAGCGTGGGAGGGAGAGGGAACAAGAATTCATAGAGGGTGGTATTGAGCACCCAAGTTGGGCTTAAATTCTTTTTAAAGATTCAGACTTTATTCTTTCATTGTAGCATTCACCACCTAGGGAGTCAATGACCTGGAACAAGTATACATGACATTTGACACTCAACAGCCAGCGTGTTTGTTCCATGTCAGTGATACACGGACTAGTGAAGTCAGAATCAAGAAGACAGTGCCATAGCTTTCACTTTTAAAAACAGGTCAGCAAAGCTCCTATATTTCTGTCTTCATAGGTTCTCTTTAAAAGTAACCCTGTCTTTTACTAGTCAGCAATCTGAGTTCCAGGTAAAGGCATAATATTTCCAAGCTCGTTTTTATAAATATGTTTTCTTAGGGTTAAAATGTCAGTGACCAGAGATTTTTAAAGATTTCTCTTAACCGGATACTTATTTTTACAGTTTTTTTTTTTCATTCAGCACAGGATCTTTCTGAAAGAACAAACTTGTGCAAATTTTACCTAAATCCATTAAACACCTGTTATGATTTTATACTTACGCACAAGAACTACTATAACTTCCTTGTGGTAGGATAAATGGACCAAGAAACTATTTGAAAGAGAGCCAAGTGGTAAATTCCATATCACACGGAAATGCTAGCGTATGTAACACATTGTGCAAGAAACACTACCACAGACTTGAAAACATCTGTTTCCAGCTGCTTCACAGGCTCCTGGGATGTTATTTTGTGGGAACGTTAACTTGATTTCAAATCACTTTACAACATGGAGGTCACTGGGTCTAGACCATAGAGCAGGTCCAGATATAATAAAAAGAAAATAAAACATAGGTTTGCTGTAGAAATTAGATATACAGAGCTGACTGGAGCACAAAATGTATAGATTACCAGGAAAATACAAAGAGTTAGTGTTTTAGACAAATTTTACAGCTATAATATTGTTTCTACTAGTTGTTGGCTATTGGGTATCACCAGTCAAGAAGCCCTTCTGTGAACAAGTGAAGGACTTCTGTTTTGTTTGAGTCAGTCATACTGGTTCTGGACATATGAAAAATAATGGTTGGAACATGAGAAGTCCAAGCTACCTGTTGATAAATGGGGGAAAAAGATCTTGGCTATATATGACCTGCCTACTGGGCAACTCCCAGGTGTAACATATAACATGTTACCAAATCACCTGCCACCACCCCGACCCGATCCCACATTGTGGCAGCAGGCGGAGGATCCTCTCCTTCAAAGACAGCACAGCCGTGCGGGGCTTAGCATTTAGAGTTCTGAATCAACTACAACTACCATCAGCCATTGTGGCAGACAGCTTGTAGTGCTCAATGAACTACGAGGATGCTGGTGAGCGCTCTCATAGTTCTTCATTGATCTTCCTGAACTTAATTAACTGCCTGCCTGTATTAGAAGTACGGACAGAAAGCTCTACTGACAGCCTCCAGTAGCTTGACACAATGTGATCTGCTGATTGTGGGTGCAATGCTTTACAGGCTCCTGAAAAAAAAAAAAATTTTACCTGTAAAAAATGTGCATTTATTGATTTTTGTTTTTAAAGGTGAACTTGAACTTTGGTCCTTGCAGCACTGGAAGATCACCACTACAGGAATATCCAAGAGCAGAGGACTTCAACTGGACACAGGAGGGCGCTCATTTATGGTAAGTACTGTCCCTGGTGCATTTTGTTTTTTAAAACACTTCATTAAACTTCAGCTTAAAATACATTTATAGTCCAACAGGTACAAGTATAATGTGCATTAAAGTACAATGTTTATATAATACCCAGTGGCGTCACTATAAGGGTGCGGACTGCACCCTGGTGACACCTACCAGAGGCCTTATGAAAGGAGAGAAGTGGAGCCCCTGAGCACCCAAGCCCCAGAAAGCCAATCCTCATGTGTAGAAATGCACAGTCATGATAGCCATGTGTCACAGATCCAGGATGTGACAGGAGGCTAGCAGTCATTGGTTGCCAAGACCGCTGGCGTCCGAGCAACCAATGAAGCGCTTTGCACAGCAGTAGGAAACTTCCTTTGTGCAGGACGGCTCCGCTCCACCCCCCGACTCTTGCTCCCGCTTCTTGCCTCCAGCCATGCTGATGCTGCCTTGACGGTAAGATAAGAGAGCCCCCTCCTGCTGTGAGGGCGCTCCTGCCTGGTAGGGTAGCCAGAAATATATTCTCTGCAACAGCAGATTCCTAACTGTTCTACACAGTGCCCAGTGTATAGTATAGTGTGTGTCCAGGTGTCCTACTGTCACTCTGCATCCATCCTCTCACAGGGTCCCCCTCCTCTCACACCCTACCCCTCCTCTCATGCTGCCCACCCGACCCCTCCTATCACTCTGCCCCCCTCCTGTCACACTGCCCTCTCCTCCTGTCACCCTGACCCCCTTGCTATCACACTGCCCCTCCTCTTGTCACTCTGCCCCCCCCCCCCCCCTCACTCTGCCCCCCTCCTCACAGGGAAGCTATATGTAACAGAGCAGGATATGTGAGGTGTTATAATGGGGGGGGGGCAATTATAACAGGCTGGGGGAATGTGGGGTAATATTAATGGGGTGGGGGAGGAATTACAGGATCATTTTAACCACTTGCCTACTGGGCATTTATACCCCCTTAGTGCCCAGGCCAATTTTCAAGTTCAGCGCTGTCATGCAACACTGTACCCATATGAAATTTTTATAATTTTTTCTTTCACACACATAGAGCTTTCTTTTGCTGGTATTTAATCACCACTGGTTGTTTTATTTTTTGCACTATAAACAAAAAAAGAGCACAAAATTAAAAAAAAAAACGTTTTTCTTTGTTTCTATTATAAAATTTTGCAAACAGGTAATTTTTCTCCTTCACTGAGGTGCAATGATGAGGCTGCACGGATATGCAGCACTGATGAGGTGGCATGGATAGGCAGCACTGATAGGCTGCACTGATGAGGTGGCACTGGTGGGCATTGATGAGGTGGTACTGATAGGCACAACAACGATGGTCACTGATAGGCGACACTGATGGAAGGCGCTGACTGACAGCACTGACTGATGGCACTGACTGGCGGCAACTGCTGGGCAGCACTGGTGAGTGTCACTGCTGAGTGACACTACAGGGCACTGAACATCAGGGCCCTGATGATCACTACCGCTCTGCTCTGTGACAGCTGCCGGTTATCGGCAGTTCTTATGGCAGTACTTAATCGGCAACTGTATTTACTCTGTGATCTGCTGTGTCATTGGACACAGCTGATCACATGGTAAAAGGTCGCTGTGATTGGCCTTTTAGCTCATCACATGATCAGCTGTGTCCATAGGACAGAGCGATCACAGAGAGCACTGGGTGTGCGCCACTGGGGGCACGTTATGGAAGGACATCATGATGCCCTCCCAGAACTGGATAACAGCGCTGTAACCATCATTCGGCTATAGCGCGGTTAATGGGGCAGAGGGAAGTACCATGGAGTGGGGGATTTATGATGGAGGGTATGTAATTGTAATGGGGGAAATACTCCGGGATAATTATAATTGGGGAGGAGGGATTGTGGGGTAATTACAAATAAGAAGTGTGTGTTTGGGGGGAGGGGGGCAAGAAATTAGATGTAATGTGGGGTAGTTATAATTGGAAAGAGGGGTGGGGTTCAGGGTATTTATAATGGGGAAGCCGAGGTTGCAGGGTCATAATTTGGGGGGGTATTTCATGGAGATAAAAAAAAAGGAACGGTGTGTATGTGTGTTGGGGGGGTGTTGTGGGACAATTATAAAATTATTGGGGGGAGACACCCATGTTTTACTGCACCAGCTGACACCACTGATAATACCATCAATCTGTCAGAAGTACTGTTCATATTCTGGGGTAATGGTTATTTTTTTTTTTTTGTGAGAATGTTCACTTATAATACTGACACTGCCCTCTGCTGGAATTTTATTTTTTTGTGTGCATAGAGCAGCGTTTTTCAACCACTGTGCGGCGGCACACTAGTCCGGCAGGCACACAATGTGCCGTGAGATATTGTCTGTGTGCCGTGGGAAAAATTGCAATTTCATCCGTAACATGTGGCCTCGGCTGACAAATAGACCAATCATTAGAACAGCAATGGGCAAACTACGGCTCGGCGGACCTTTTAATCCGGCCCACGAAGCGTGATACTGTCAGGATGATCTGTCCCCCTCGACGTATCTGCGCATGTGCCGGAGATCGCCGATCGGCTGCTAATGCCTGAAACTTGCACATGCGCAGATACGTCGAGGGGGACAGATCCTCATAGGAGACAGATTTTCATGCTACACCGGAACGGCGAGAGGAACGCGCGGAGCAAAGGTAAGTGAATTGACACGGGGGGGCTTGGGGACTTAATATGGGGGATGAATTAATATGGGGGATGAATTACTATGGGGGATGAATTACTATATGGGGGATGAATTACTATAGGGGGGATGAATTACTATGGGGGGATGAATTACTATACTATATACTATAGGTAAATTTTTTTAACATTTTCTAATGGTGGTGTGCCTCGTGATTTTTTTCATGAAAAAAGTGTTTTTTGCACAAAAAAGGTTGAAAAACACTGGCATAGAGGATAAAATAAATGTTTCTAGTTACCTTTAGCTAAAAGCAGTTATACTTACATTATACATCTATTTTCTGTATTCTCAATGTATGGGTTTAAAAAAAAATTACAGTGGCAATTTATCAGATTAAAGCTAAACTCTGGGCAGATATAAAGCATGAATATATGTAGCGCTGTAATCAATACATCTTCAAACATATTTTTTAAATGTAAGCAGTGTAACTACCTGAATGTGACTTGGCATCAGCCACTACCGTACATCAAAGCTCAGATAGGGGAGAGAGAAGTAGCACCAGAAGCTGCTTGTTTGTGCTGCATGCTAGACACTGACAGCGAGATGAGAATATCTGGGTGCTGTTTTTCTTTTCATTGACCAGTTACTGGTTGGGAAGGAGAACTTTAAAAGAAAGTGAAGCAGCAGCAAAAGATCAATCCCTTCCCTGGCTAGACAGGGCTGTGCAATGTGGTAAAGCTGTGTAAATCTCAGGACTGGTTGGGCACAAATACAAATTGTTTGGCAGGTAAAACAGCTCTCATATATGCATTTTATTTGTAGATTTAGTTGTTTGCCTAGAGTTCAGATTTAGGGATTACACTAGACAAATACAGAATAATGCAAACAAAAGGGAACAAGTTTTTTCAAGGAACTGATTGAGTGTGTTGAAACCCCTGATACCGGACATACCTTGGGGGAACAATATTGCATTAGGAAAATTCAAACTAGTTGATAGTTTCTCCTCCCTAAACTGATTTGCTAATACATTTTACACATCTCAGCAAATTGATTATTTACTCTTCTAAAAATATATGGTAGAAAATAGATCCATTAGGTCTTTACAAGGATGCCTTTTTGTAAAAAAAAAGGTAAGGGCACTTTAAAACAAAACGCACTTAGCCTTTTTGCTCCTTTTCCCTCCACAGGTCTAAAAACTTCCAGGGACTCAACAGCCGGGGATTGTTTTACACCCAGCTTCACAAGTCCTATCTGTACTGGCAGCACCAGCGCATTACAATCCCATATACTTCTATTGTGCTGTCTCCCTAGGCCAAAAACAAAGGTAGATGAGGCCCATTGAAGTCTAAAGCTAGCCATACATTAATAATATTTTTCATTCAACCAGCGGGTGAAAGAAAAAAAAATTACCCAATTTCCCCATCCACACATTCGAGGTTGATGAGGGAATCACTCCCATTGTCCTTTTGTGTTTTGATGGCGGGGAGCCTTCGCCACCATGATAACACACTGATCTGTGCTGCCAGCTGTAGCCAGTGGCACTGATCATTCAGGAAAAACCTGACCGGCTGGTTGTACAGAAGCTGATCAAAAGATTGACTTCTGTACAACCAGCCTACCCATACAAGGATTGTAATTTGGCCAGTCCTTGCTGAACCAGCCAAATTTCAATCCTTGTGTGGCTGCCTAAAGGGGTTGGAAGGTGTGGGCATGGCTAGGACAGGGATGACTTGCAGCAATAGATATAAACAATCCCAGAGAACTGGAGCCAATTGATCTTGGTAAGTAGGATCTTTGGAGGGAGATCAGTTAGGCTACGTTCACACTAGCGTTGTCAGCAGGCGGCATACAGGCATTTGGGAAGCGTTTTTACCGCTTTCCAAACGCCTCTGAAAATTCTGCACATTGCAGCACATAGTGGTGTGCACACGGAAGCGTTAGCGTCGTGGCAAAACGGACGCCTCTGATTGATGCGGTGCGGTTGCGAGGCATTTGCAGAGTGTTAACACCATTCAAACTTCATTCTAGGCGTTTGTGGGGCGTTTTTAACGCTTGGCAAATGTTTACCAACCACCCGTAAACCACGCATACAGCGTTTTTGGCGCGTTTGCGGGGCGTTAAAAACGCTTCACAAACGCCGGACCAACGCTTGTCAAATGCTATAGGGGCGTTTGGCAAGAGTTGGAAAAAAAATCAAGTGTGACCGAGCCCTTAGGTCAGAGGAAAGGGGCAAAAGGATAAGTGCGCTTTGTTTTAAAAGTACACTCATCCTTTTTAACCACTTTAGCTTTTGAATATGTATATCCCTACCTCCCAAACTTGACAAAGAGGGACAATTTTTAAAGGGGCTGAATGTGGCATGCACAGTGCACTAACAGTGGGTGTTGCCTGCACAAAGTGACCATATAGGGGGTACAATCACATTTTTTTTTCACATTGTTGCTATGAACCCATTGATTCATCAAAACTTTAAAGTGATATTAAAGGTTTTTTTTTTTTTTTTTTTTTATAACAAACGTCATACTCGCCTGCTCTGTGCAATGATTGCATAGAGCAGCCCAGATCCTCTTTTTCCTGGATCCCCTACCAGAGCTCCTGGCTCCTCCCCCTTGACCAGTGCCACACTAGCAAGCCGCTTGCCATGGGTGCACTGGTGCGTTGCTTGCTCCTGGGCCTTGCTTTATGTGTCTAAAAGACACAAAGCCGCAGCTTGGCAAATCCCCTGCCCTCTCCTCATTGGTTTGCTGGCTGTGTTGGCTCCCACGGCTGTGTCTCAGCCAATAAAGAGAGAGAGACCCAGGACAGCCAAGGCTCCCGTACACATCGCTGGATCAAGAAGGGGCTCAGGTAAATATTGGGGGGGGGGGCTGTGGGGGGAGCAGTACAGAAAGTTTTTTACCTTCAACCGTAGAATGCATGAAGGTAAAAAACATTTAGCCTGTACAACCACTTTAATACTTATGATGCCCAAATAATACATGCATTGGCAAAGACAGGCTTTCAAATTTGCCTTGCAAAATTAATTTCATTGTGTAATCTCTAAAATGTAATTGAATAAAAAATTTTTTTTCTTTTTTTAGTTTGACCAGTGATAGTTTTTAACCAACTAGCATTACTTTATATTATTGATGCATATTTATTTCTGTAACTTGCCCCATTTACAGTGACATTAAAATTACATTTCTGGTGCAAAGCAGAACAAGCTGAGCTGTGCAGTATACATGTGCTTCTACTATGGGGGCTCTCAAAATTAGGGTTAGGACTGCAGAAAATAATGGGGAGCCGTGAAGAGGCTCTGCAGCTTACGCATGTGTTTGCAAATGTGTGTAAATTAAACCCCTGTTTTAACACAACCTGTTAGAACAATTCAGTTGGTTGCAGACTGGTCAGTAAGTTGAGCTGGTAATTTTTCTCTTTCATTGTTTGACATGCGTTGCCCTGATATGAGCTCCTTGCTGTGAAGGCCAATTATAGATTGGGGCAGTGGCCATTTATTTGTACTGAACTCTGCAGTAACTCATATGGGCCATTCAGCAATCAGAATTCATCTTTAACTATCCATTTTAGCATGTGGGGCTGGTGTGCATTTTACTGGGTAGTGAGTTGTGCCATTTCAGTGCATCACATTTTTTTTTTTTTTTTACTTAGGAGAGTGTGTACAAACCTAGGTCCTGACTATACCCATAATGGGAAAAATAATTCAAACAATATAAATGGCTGCAGAAAGATGCATGGATCAACCACACAGGCGATCAGCACCACTTTCAGGGCACCCCCTTCACCCATCAGAAACATGCAGCCAATACAACATCTGGGACCCAGCAAGGTGACAATTCCTCTAGGACAAACAAGATTTGGCTTGATCTCTGAGGAAGGAAACGCATCAGCTTGTCAACATCACCAAT